TCAACAAAAGACACGTGCCTCTATGAGGCGTCTTGCGATCGTTAAGGAAGCAGCAACGCCTTGCTAAGGCAGCTACTCCTTGTGCACTTAGTGCGATTGATTCTTTGAATCGTTTGGTCGCCGCCCTGGAAGAGGGACCGTAAGCTCTCTGAGCTTGTTGACTCTTTGAGTCGGGTTCTTTCAACCAAACCTTAGCTCTCTGATCTGTTGACTCTTTAAGTTGTTTTCTCTGAACCTTGAGTTGCTCATTGAGCGATAAGTCTTCCTCTGACTTAAGGAGCTGTATAGCTCCGCTACATGCGCCATCAGCTGATGCGTTGGATCATAAATAGGGCCAACACCTGAATTTCGATGGAATAAATACCATCCAAGTGCGCCATAGGACCACCTTTCAAATTTGTCATCATCGAAGCGCAATTTGCCGGCTTGTCATGCGTATGGACTTTTGGTCTTTTATGCATAAATTTCAAGCAAACTTCAGATATATGTGGTATCTGTGGTCGACCGGCCGTTGAGAAGTAGCTGTGATGCAATAGTTAGGGTAGCGATTTTATCGGTGTGACACCCGCATACTCGCACCTGACCCCACCGAGGTCTCTTAGCATCACATTTTGATCAGTGACCATCGTGTGTACCACAAAGATGTCTATACTAACGTCTGTGATGCAAATGTACGTCGCAACTGTAGCGGCATATTTTAGCTCATTTAACTTCCTACCTCGCAACGCAGGTCGTCTTTTCGTAGTTGTTATATGACTTACAAGAATTGGCTGTCATTGCTTCTCTCGTGCTCGCACTCGTGCTGTTTGTTGCCTCGTCACATGTGTTGAACTAGTTTGGCGTGTCGCTCTGTGAGCGTTTCTCAACAAAATGAAGCATCGACCTGAACGCGGGGCAATCTTTCAAATGAGCTCGCTGCACCGGGTACTACTAGGCCCTTTATGTTTCTTACCCACGCAACAACCACATATCAAATTTTAATCGAGATCATGGTTTCTAGATAGAACTACTATGAGCGGTTCAAGACCTATCTTGCGATTTACAGGCAATCTCCTCAGTTTTGAAGGCAACCTTTCAAGGTTCTGCTTGGATCAACTGAGCTGGTATGTGGGTAAGTCACGAGTCTGATTGAACGGCTTGCTGTACCCGTGGAGGCAAAAGCAAGCCGGAAAAACTTCCTCCTCTTTTACGAGCAAGCGAAGGTGGAGATGGACCTGGCTTTCGATATAAATCGCCAGCTCCAGACAAACCATTGTACGTTCCTTCATCCCTTGGATATTTGCGTAATGTTTCGCCGCTGAGCGAGAGTCCAGCCATTTGTTCGATGCACGTTCCATTTGCTGGTAAGACTGCAGTGCTGGACAGAAGTTCGCTCTGCTTCCGCCTAAAAAGTACATTGGGATTGTGAAAACAACGTGCGGCTCGAATACAGCGCTTGACTTGCGCAGATCAGTTTTGTGGTCGCAGACGCTTCGATGATCAAGTTGAAGATGTTATTCAAATCCGAAATGTTTGATTTATTTCAGTAACATCGAGAAGGCTCAATATATATTCTGTTGTGTTGTATTCTTGTCCAAAGGCAATAAAATATGACTGTCATGTTCAGGGCTACCTCCGGCGAGCTGATCTCCATAACGCTGTAACCTCCTCCATATTGTCGAAACGGGCGGCAAATCCACCCCGTTCTATGGCCACTTCGTATCAAGTTAAGACCAGAACAAGGACTTAGTATCGCGAACGGCAATGCGTATAGATTTGGCTCGTTTCATCATGATAAGAAACGTGTGAAGCACTATCGTCGACAACGTTCTGTCAAATTGAAAACCTTATGTCTACGATTCAATGTAGTATTGGGTGCTGTCCGCGTTGCGAAGACCAGGATTTTGACCGTCGCGAACAAATGTACAGGACTAAATACTCCACTGATTGTCCACCTCTTCCAGAACGTTGTCTTGTTCAGCCCAGCTCAGCACTTTGATCGTCTTCGTGTGACGAACAAGCTATAAATCGACATCGGAGTCCGGCGCGCTATGTAAGCTTGGCTCCCGGATCTTGCTTCAGACGACCGTGGAGGTAAATCGCCTCATCAGCAGGGTGAAGTACGGTAGTCTCGAGACCGGTTTCCTGTGTTGTTCTAGGTACTTTTGGATCGGCAGAGTGGTGATATCTCTTTTGGCTGCTTCGCTCCACTTTCCAATCGCTTCAATTGATTGGCCTCTTAACTATTAAACAGCCATCCGGTAAGTTTTGGTCTTCGCGATGCCATTGAAATCTCTGTCCACTGACTCAAGAAATAGCTTATTATTGACTTTCGATCCACATCATGTAAAAATTGCGCTTGAAGCATGCCACCCGGGCGCTGTTGGTGTTGTGAAGTTCGATGCTGGACTGCTATTGTCAAGCTACTACGGACCTCAACTGGCTTTTTGCATGTGGTATGCTGCTCGCTACCAATTAATCCTCTGTGGCGCGCGTCTCGGAAAATGCAGATGTTGGTTGTGTTTCGCTAAAGCGCGTGCACGCGCGTTCCCTGTGATTGTCATATGAGAGTCATGCTCTCCGTGCACGGACTCAGCAGGCGGTGCCGGTTTGTTGGATCCCTGCACGTGCAGATTGGTACTTGTTGGACCATTTGCAGCAATAAAAACAATCCACATATCAGTTGATCAAGTCTCAATCACACCTCGGCAAATATCGACAAGAACAAAGACGATTGCGGCTTCATAGCGTTGTAGCTCTTGTTCTGGACAGCCGCCTTTTGTGCATGCATACATCTTACGGGTGACCACCCGATTGTAATCACTGTGACAAACCTCCTTACTGATTTGTGAAACTACACCTCGCGCGGGCTCCATCGTGCCATGGCATGAAGAGATGGATATCCTCGCGCTAAATCGACTGAAGCGTCATCATAATCAACAAATATAAAGCGCTAGATGCCACTGTGTCCCTGAGATGGAGATGGGAGGAGCATTCGTTTACAACGAGTACAGATGCATGAAACAAGCTCTGATGTCAAATGCAGCACATTCAACTTCATTCTACCATCATCCTCTGTCGCCGACAATAAGCGGACAACAGCTTTTGCCGCGTTCACCCCAGTGGGTAGCTTACCTCCGCATGTGTTGCGACCGTAGTCAAGTTCGTCGCGAGTCCGGCGTTACATCATCACGAAATGGATTCTGATTTGTACCTGAGAGTCGGTCGCACAGCCGCCGTTGTCGTGTACTCCGTGGCTTCCCCTCGGACCCAACAAGTAGGTGGTGCGTGTACATGAGGCGCATACGTTACAACAGACCGAGCTGGTACCGAATTTGCCGAGTCGAACGGACGCTTCAGAGCGAGCGAAAGTAGACCTTTTCGTCATGGTTTTTGCTTCTGCAAGTCTTGCGAGCGTCGACAGTGACATTCAATCAAGCAGCGGAGCTCCTGGAAGCGATCGGATTTGACTGCGAATGCCACGATCTCGAACGGGACCGACCACCGTGTCCTTTTGCGCTGTGATCTGTATCGTCGTAATCTCACGAAGAGAGTGCGGTTCAATGGTAGTTGCTAAGATTGTGCTTTGCATATTGTACATATCCACTAGGCAATCTACAAGGTGTGGTAATACAAATAGAATGACCGTATCTACACGTCGCCGAGAAGAGCAGCTCATTCGTGGTAGCTTGTTGGCCTCTGAAACGCTACTTTTGCAGCATAGGTTGAAATGCAAAGATGCCCTCCGCAGAGTGCCGACGGTATTCAGCAGACTGTCTTTAGCGGCAGTAATGAGGCTAGCAGACGTCCCTGCATGGCAACGTGAAGGCTTCCTTGACTTGCAACAGCTCTTCCCACGAGATACCAGCGACTCTCCAGCAGTATCTACGCCGACATCACCATCGCTTGGTCACCGAATCACCTGTGTACTTCGCTCGTGAAAATCTGCAAAAGCAAGGGGTAAACTTAGGACAACGTGAACGCTCCTTTCCTCGATCATCATTGTGCAGACTTTTGTCTCCATTGATTTCAATTTTGAGGTCGGGCTTTCGTCGGAGGCAATTCACCAACATATGATTGTTAGGTGTTTGCCCGCGTAGTCGAACTTCCCAAAGCATGGACCCACGAAGGCGCGACTTCTTCGAAGATGAGACAGTGATGTCACGAAACATACACGTAGCAAGTGCATGAAGTGAACCGCATTGCTCTCGCACTACGTCATCACAGACTCGACAAACAGCATTTTGCTTTCTTTGGCATTGACTTTGGTGGCTCCGTCCATGCGCCTTGGTCGTCGTGGAATAGTGCGAGCGAACAAAACGTGAAACAGTGACTTCTGTTGACATGACTTCCAAATTTCGATTCAGAAGCGCGCTCAGGCGATATCACGAAGTTTTCATTTTCACGATAAATTGCCTATGGTTTGTTGTCCAGTAGTTAGTAACACCTACTGTGTATGAACCCATACAACGCCATTCATCAGGGGACACGCAGCGGGCAATCGATCTGCATTAAGATTGTTTTTCTGCATGACCGCAGATGGTTGGATGGATACTGAAGTTGAAGCGTAACCTTAGACAAACACGTATGGTGCCGATGGATGCCCCCGCAACATCGATATTGTAGGTGCTATGCAGCCCCATGGCAGCAGTAGCATGACCGACCACTGAATTTTCCGCAATGAGCTTGATGATCAGGAACTCGTGACCCGACCTATCGCATTTTTTATTTAAAGCAACGACTCTGGAAGCCTTCTTGCCGGCGCAGACAACAAGGATACATCCGCAACAACGTGTGGTCCAGGGCTTCAGATGTTCATGACCACCGTAACGAGGCATCCTAGGCCGCAGACGTGGACGGTGAAGAGGCGCGTTGCATGACTAAGAAATATTAGACGTTAAAGCAAATGCGCTAGGAGCCAAGCTAACTTAACCACTTCCCAGGCCCGGCATGTCCTCGGTCGTCATCTCCTGCAGGAGGCTCGCTGTCTCTTCCTGGCAAAGTTAGCTCGTGAAACTCCTTTACGACTTGGCGCGCATCTCGTGGGGCGCCACAAATACTTTCAAGAAACCACTGTCCTTCTTTGCGATACGCGAGTACGCTTCCGGCAACTCTTCAAGAGCCAAGCGGTGCGAGATCAGGACCGATGGATCCAATTCGCCGCTTTCGATCGCGCCGAACACCTGGGGATAGTACTTCTGCGCCGGCGCACGTCCAGCGTGGACAGTCACACCCTTCATTGCGACGGGGCCAATCGGGAACGAGCCAACAGAGCGCATGTAGTCAGACACGATCGAAACGTGGCCACACTTCCGCACGATCATCAGCAACTCTTTGAGCGTATCCGTAGGTTCTGGCTGTTTCTCCATCCCAATCGACTTCTCCAGCTTGGCCAAAAACCCGCTGGATGTCGAGCTTCCACTTGCATCAATCACCGCATCGGCACCAGCGGGTGGAAGCATTTGCTGCACTTTCGCCACTACCTGGGCGCTGCTCAGGTCTCGGCGGTCGACCACATCCAAATTCATGTGATCATGAGCAAACTTGAGTCGCTCGGGGCACTGCTCAATGCCCACCACCTTCTTCGCACCACGCAGCTTGCACCAGTGAGCCGCTTGGAGCCCAATGGGACCGAGGCCCCAAATGACCACATGGTCTCCTTCTCCCACTGCGGCTGTGTCCACAGCGTGGAGTGCCGTTGCTGTCGTCTCCACTCCCAAAACCGCCTTGTCGTCGCTGACACCCGATGGCAGCTTAAAGCAGTTGACGTCGCCAAAGGGCACACGGACATACTCAGCCTGCACGCCTGGCACGTTGCCCAGCATACGGGTGCTACCGAGCACAGCAGCTGGAGCCCAGCCACCGTAGGTCTGCTTAAACTCCTGCGATGCGTTCGTGCAGTTGCACGCCGCGTACTCCTGTCGACGGCAATGCTTACACTTGCCACAGGCAAGCACAAAGCTGATGGCAACACGGTCTCCCTCCTTCACTTTGTGCACCTCTGCGCCTACGCTGTCGACAATGCCAACCGCTTCACTGCCCAGCACCTGATCCTTCTCTAGCCCAGCAGCGTTCCCGCACACATCTGTCGCAAAGTCTGGGCTCACAGAGCAAGCAGTGACCTTCACCACCACATCGGATGCTTCCATGATCTTGGGCTTGGAAATATGTTCCAGCTTCACCGACTTGCCCGTCCACACAACAGCACGCATGCAGCCAGCCGGGTCCTTCGAGCACGAATCCTTGCCGTGCGTGTGAGCGCTCGACATCATCTTGTTCACAGTGTCCATTGCAGTGTGAGTTCCCCACTCGATCGAATGTCTTTGCTTGTGTTACTGAGCCGGCAAAACGAGATATGACAATCTCGTGGGCCTTTTTGTTGCTCCCCAAACCAGTTGAACCGTTTGCAGCAGTCGCGCGAGCGACATGTCAACTTTGTGCCAGCCAACTTCGAAGCTATTGAGCGGGTCAAGACTTTGCTCCTGCCGTTGAAGAAGGAGGTGGCGTTGACGTCTCTTCGCAGTCCATCAATCCAAATTGGCCTCTGTACTCGTTCTTGAGCAGTGCCTTCCAACGGCTTCAACTTGAGGAACCCGTCCGGCGCGAGCTGCTGCGAGACTGCGCTTCTCCACACGGCAAACGGCGCTGCGTTGTTACCTTTTGCATTCCCTATCACGTAAGTGACTGCACAGTGCTCAACTCGGAGCCGTAAGTGCTACTAACGTACGAGGGCGTATCACTGACGAACAGCGAAAGTCGGCCAGAAAATGAGATGCGATTGCCACTACACTTTTAATGCATTTCATTCCCACTTCACGTAGAAGTGGAACAGCTCATTTGTTGGCCCAAGTGGACACGACAACAGCGTCGACAGCAGTAGCAATCGACGACTCGCATGTCCGCCGCTCTTTGGTCTCTGTTGTCTGTCCTGACGACAATGTCCCAAGCCCCCAAGCCGAGCGAATGACTAGTGCCGAACTTCCTTCCCACTAGCAGCCGCCTTCCTCCTATGGGCACTGGATGCAGTCGATTCCATTGACGTGCGACATGGCTAACGTGGCAACGGAACAGTCACATATCGGTCGACGTCTCGGGGTCCTGCATTGTCGTGCGTTTATCCGACACCACTTGACGTTATTTCAGTGCTTTTTGCGACACGTCGTCACCCTCTGCGACGTGGTGTGGTACACACCACTGCCCCAACTGCTGGTCGCCGACGCCGCTGCGTCCCCACTCTGTGGCCGCCAACGTCGCAGATCCCCTCGTGCCGCCTCTCTCTCTCTCTCTCTCTCTCGCTCCCCCGACGCTCTGCGATGGCGCTCCGTCGCGTCCTGCCCCCCCGCCGCGTCTGGACGGCCGCCGCTGCCCATCGTCGCTCGATGGCCACTGTGGCCCACGAGATGACAGTGCGCGACGCGCTGAACACAGCGCTGGACGAAGAGCTCGCGCGCGACGGCGCAGTGTTTCTCATGGGCGAAGAAGTGGCCGAGTACAACGGCGCGTACAAAGTGTCGAAGGGCCTCTGGGAGAAGTACGGCGACCAGCGCGTGATCGACACGCCCATCACGGAACAGGGCTTCACGGGACTGGCCGTGGGCGCGGCCTACCACGGCACGAAGCCCATTGTCGAGTTCATGACGTTCAACTTTGCCATGCAGGCCATTGACCAGATCATCAACTCGGCCGCCAAGCAGTTTTACATGTCGAACGGCGACATTAGTGTGCCCATTGTGTTTCGAGGCTCGAACGGACCGGCGGCGGGAGTCGGTACGTTTTGGCCACCTGGCGCGCGTCTTGCGTGTTGACTGGCTGCTGCTGTTGCTTGTTGTGGTTTGATTGCAAAGCTGACTATGTTCCTGTGCCTTGTGTACGGAATGTCGGTAGCTGCGCAGCACTCGCAGTGCTATGCGGCGTGGTACGGCAGCGTGCCCGGTCTCAAGGTCGTCTGTCCGTACGACTCGGAGGACGCTCGCGGCTTGCTCAAGGCCGCTATCCGCGACCCCAATCCCGTGGTCGTGCTCGAGAACGAGCTGCTGTACGGCGTCACGTTCCCCGTGTCGAAAGAGGCCCAAGACAAGGACTTTACCATTGAGATTGGAAAGGCCAAGATCATGAAGCAGGGCAAGGACGTGACGCTCGTGGCCTTTTCCCGCATGGTGGGCGAAGCGCTTGAGGCTGCTGCTGTTTTGGCCAAGGAGGGCATTGACGCCGAAGTGATCAACCTCCGCTCGATCCGTCCGTTCGACCGCCAGGCTATCATTGACTCGGTGAAGAAGACCAACCGCATGGTGTCTATCGAAGAAGGATGGGGACAGCACGGCATTGGCGCCGAGATCGCCGGTATCGTCATGGAGACGGAGGCTTTCGACTACCTGGACGCACCCCTGGAGCGCGTGACGGGAACGGACGTGCCCATGCCGTACGCTGACAACTTGGAAAAGTTGTGCCTGCCCCAAGTCGATGACATTGTGGCCGCGGCCAAGCGCACGGTTGCTCGCAAGCTGTAAGCACAATTTGCCTGACGTGGGAGATGACGAATGGGAACGCCAGCATCGATGTCGCTCGATCTAATGTCTAGGACCTCGCGCGGTCACGGGTAACACGGTGAAGGCTTGGCTCTCGTTTGTCACGATCACGCGCAGCGAACAGCGTTGTGTGCTAGAGCAGATGAAGTGGAACGTGGCTGACGGTAGGAAGGGTGTAACCAATCGATCCCGATAGATAACGACAGACGTCCATTCAATTCGCTTTCCTTTGTCTTTGCGCCGTAGCAACGATGAACGGAGAATCAGTTGCCATAGCTTCTTTGGTGGTACGAAGCAGAGCAATGGAGCTACTTGCTGCGCATCCCCGTCACACAAAGAAGCGACCAGCATAAACCAGCCCAACAGCAGATCACTGGTAGCAGCAGCTTTTGTTGACCGCAGCCAAGTAAGTACACGAAACCCGTTCTCGACTATCTGATCAGGTCCAAAACAAAAGGCAGTGGACATGACAGCGATGGACGAACAAGCACAATACAACACGTTGATCTCACGGCGCCTACGAATTGCGTACTCGCGAAATCTGTAAACCTGCTTCTTCCGCATCCCTCTCGGACCTAAAAGCCAAACTCGCCAAAGAAATCGACGTCCTTCTTCGGTTTTGGCTCCTTTGCAACCGGAGCTGGAGGTAAAACAGCGACAACAGGAGCAGCAGTCGATCCATTGCTGCTTGAAACCGAAGCTATGGACATCGACGAGAGCCCAAGCAGGTCGTGGCTGTCGCTGTTTGTACTGAGCGATGACGACCCGAGCGAGCTTGACGTCTGCAAAGCGTTTGCCTGCTGCATTGTTGTGTGGGAACTGCCACTCCTGCTGTCAAAGTCGCTGCTGCTGCTGAGCTGCGAGTCCAGCCACGAGTCGTTGTCGTGATCGCGGCTTGACGAACTTATACCGCTGCTGCTGCTGCCAACACCTGCATACTTGCTGGAGGTCGGCAGATCAGTGTTGGTGCGAGGAAACGCGCTGCTCATTCCAGCTGCGTTGTTATTGGCATAACCGTTCCCGTTGACTGCAGTCTGGGCGGTCTGTATTAGTGCAGAAGCACCGCTGGACAGCACGGACCAGCCGGACGAGGCAGACGACTTGACGTTTTCGGTGAGTGCCGGATCGTGGGTCGCGTGCTGCATGAACGACCATCCGGACGACACCTTTGACCCCAAGTCTTGGTCCTTCATGAGACTGGCAGCCGAACTGGCGACTGTCGTGACTGTGCTAGTCAAGTAACTAAACGCGCCCGAGAGATCGCCCAGACCGGCAGATGGAGCTTGAGGCACACGCGTTTCACCGCCACTTCCAATGCCCTGCATCCCGTTGCTGCCAAACTTGGCAGCCATGCGGGCGCGAGCCTCTTCCCGCAGCTTGATCTGACGAGCAACGTAGTCCTGCTCCGACTCGCCTTTGAGCGCTTCAACACCACGTGTATCGCCTCCAGCCTGACCTCCACCAGCGTACGAAGCAGACGAAAACGAGGACGAGGACGGCTGGCGCGTGCTCGGATCCCACTGGGGTAGCGACGGCGGGGCCCGTCCCTCGACAATCGCCGTGAGACGTTGACGGTAGACTTCGGCTTGTGGCGTGTTGTACTTTTCACTGATAGAGAGGTCCGTGGGCACGCCAGCAGCAGCGAACGCCACGCGGAACGACTCATTGCCGCCTCTCTGCATCTGCATCACCTGTTTGTCCGTCCACGAGTCCATCGTCACTGACCGCACGAACGACAGGTGCACCCCTAGTCCACGATGGCGGCCCGAGCACTCGAGACACATGAACGTCCCGTACGAGACAGTGGCCCATTGGGGGTAGGGGGCGTCGCAGTCTACACATCGCTACAGAGACAGACGAGTTAGCCACAAAGGCAAAACCTTAGGGCTTCGCACGGGCGGCGCAAGACGTACGTTGTTGCCGGGCAGACGTCGCAGCTCCTGCTGCGTTTCCACAGCCATTTGGTGCGCCATTCTGTATGCCGATCGGTTCTGCAGCAGCAACGACAGCAGCAGAGCGAGTGAGTGCGCAGTCGCGTGGCGAGAGGAGCGCCAGACAGAGCGCCAACGTACAGGAGGAAGAGGAGCTGCACAGGTCGAGTGTACGTCGCGGCTGAGGACTGAACACTCGGGCCACGCGAGTGGACAAAAGTAGTCGACCGAGTAGCCAATCAGAGGCTGCCAAGAGGGCACAATGCACCACTCAAGAAACGAGCGAGCAAACGAATGACGAAACGTCGCGATGGATACATTTGGTCCCTCACTGGCGGCGATGAAACGTCACAACGTGCGGGCGCTTGAGCACGTGGTAGAAGAGGACGTTGAGCCCTACGAAGCTGCCAGCGACTAGCGCCACGTACGTCGCAAAGTTGTTGTAGCCGCGTCCGCAGATCATATACGACGGCCCCTCGTGGAGCAGCTGCGTCATGGGGACGTTGCACAGCGTAAAGTCCTCGTCAAAGTCGTATGCGCAGAGGTACTTCCTGCGGTGGTGGCGCATACCAATGAGACTGTAGTACGACTGGCGCTCGAGGCAGTGGCCCAGTGGCTGGTGGTGGCCCATCGACACGATCTCCGTCGGGTTGATGAACAGCACGAGCAGCAACAGGACAAAGTAGAGCAGGAACACCATCTGGTTCACCGCGTGGTCGATGCACGAATACAGCCAGTCACTGTCGTAGACGGCCACAGGGTCTAACGAGTCTTGCACGCCCGGGAGGCCTGCGAACGAACAGCACAGCATCGTAGTTAGTAGAGTACGGGGGATGTGTAGGTAGCGAGCGATCGCTATCGCGAGGTCACACGATGTACCTCTCTCGCGATCAGCGATCCAGCAGAGTAGCAAGCTCAGCCCGATCAACATGAAGAGAGACACCTGGACAGCAACACACACACACAGTGTCAGTCGCCGTCTTTTTACCAGTCTTTCTCATGTCAGTCGCAACAGCACGTCGTCACCTGTGCTTGAATCCCCAGGAGGCGAACAGGGCAATAGTAGCCCAAAATGAGGAGACCAGCAGCGAGTAGAGTCGTAAGGAACGGCATCAACAAGACGTAGGCCCGCTCGGACGCCCACTGGTCCTCTTTGCAGTAGTCGCCCGTGAGCCAATTCCTGTTGCAGACACTACACCGCCAATCAGTTTCCCCAACGCCATCCCGTCGCACTGCCCTTCTGTCTCTCACCTGCGCAGGACGTGGTGCACGCAGCTGAACGCGAACGCAAAGTAGTAACAGTAGAAGAGTGCGTGGCAGGGGATGCCCAGCAGTCGGTCCGCCAAAAGCGGGTCGGTGTCGTGCCACGTCCACCAGAGGAACTTGGCGCCCAGCAGCTCCAACGGCAACGCGAGCAGCACCACGAACGTCCCCATCGCGAACGGCTGAAACAGCACATCGATCTGCAGTCGCGACGTCGCGACGAATGCCCTGTACAAAGCACAGCCACGTGAAAAGACCGCCAGCGATCGCGCCATAGTGATGGCGCCCGACGTACGTGTAGTAGAGCTGAGCCTGCAGCAGCACCGTGTACAGCGGGAGACGGTCGGGCACTGCCATCAGCAGCGATTGCGCGTGCCAGCGGTCGTCCGAGTGGAGGAACAGCTCTACGAGAAGCACTTGGAACATGGCGGCGACCCATACGGCGGCGTTGCGCTTGCCGGACGAGTGCACGTGGAGCAGGAGGAGAAAGGTGCTGAGGTAGGCGACGCTCTCGACGACCACTAGCGACGCGTTGTCGCCCAGGAGCCCCAAGAAGGCCATCGGCGTGACGCGTGACGGAGCTGCAGCCATTTCGTCCTACGGCATTGAACGTCCTATCCGTTTTAAATTCATTCATTGGTTGGTTGGAACATGGCTACAGAAAAAAACGGTCCTACATCGCCTTCCCGTCATACGGAAGGTCACTACTGCCTGAGTCGGTCCTACGGGCTGCCAGAACCCGATACAGCACAAACATCAGGACGCCCAGCAGTACACAGAGGAGCACTGTGCTCGACGCAGAGGCGTCTCCGACCCCAGTCATTAGTCGACCAGAGCTCTTTGGTGCTTCGTCGCGGTTCCACACAAAGCCCTCGACCTTCGCCATCCATGTCTCGGCCTTCTCACTTCCTGCATCTCCAGTCTCAGCCTTCTCACTTCCTGCATCTCCAGTCTCGTGTTGCAGGTGTTGCTCTCCCGGTTCCAAGTCCTTCGGGACGTAGCACGTCCGACCTTCGTAATTGCTGTCGCACGAGCACAGGCCATTCACACAGTCGCCGTGGTTGCTGCAGTGGTCCCGGTACACGCACGTGACTGTGCGATCCGATGCGGGAAAGTCTGCCAAGTTGGCGTACCCGCTAGAGAGTGACTTCAGGTACCGATCGAACGCAATATCGTACTCGGAGAGCTCCGTGTCCAGAAACTTGGACAGCTCCTGCTCCAGCGACGGGAACACGAGGTTAAAGCTCCCGCGTCGAGCGTATTCTGTTGATGCAGCGAACAACTTGCGCGCAACGTTCGGTGCAAACCACCCAGGGCACGACCAGCACGAAGCGTCCCACGCGCGGTTCGTGTCGCGGCACTTGTCGGAGCAAAAACCAGCGTCAGTAGGGCGGAAGAACTTTTCAAACGGCAGCTGGGCTTGGGGATGCACGCCGACGAGATTGACCAAGTCGTGCAGCAGTCGTTTCTTGATAGCTTCGTCCGTACCAAACAGGGACGGCGTAGCCGTCATCGTCGGATTGGAAACCACACGCACGAGCCACGGTTTGCCCACATTGTCGAACTCAAAGTTGAACTTCCACAATTCAAAAAAGCTGTCGCTGAGATCGGACGGGCTCTCTTTCTCTCCTTCGCGCGCAGCTGCACGCTTCACCTTGGCCTGCTCGTTCTGGAAGTGGCCGCGACTGCTGAGCACCACCTTTGCGATCGTAGCTTCCACCTCGTCCTGCAAATGCTTCGTATCGATCCCTTGTCTCCGCAAATACCGTTTCACTACATGCCACGCATTCGTTCCTTCTCTAGCAGCCGACGGCAGCTCGTGAAAATCGGTCTGCAGATCCGGAAAGTCCCAAGGAGGAATGTACTGGTCAAAACAGTATGCAGCCGAGTCAGCCTCAAGCCCCAGCTTGCGTGGATACTCGGCCTTGGCGATCTGGATCAGCGGGTGATCGTACACGTACACACGGAGCGGATTGGTCGACGTGACCGCTACGTAAAACCCGACACGGAACTTGTGACTGTCGAGCAGCAGCGGCTCAATGTACTTGTCGACGACCACTGACTTCCCCTTGAACGTGCTCGACCGCAGTTTCAGCTGCAGCTCTTCATCGGTGACGAACACCTCAGCACCGGCAGTCGACTCGTCGTTTCCATCGACAGCGCGTTCCCGTAGCAGGAAACGCCGGTGCACTTCTGGATCGTGTCCGCGGTCGGGCGACCAGTCGGACTGCTTCTGTGCCGCTGCGTAGGCACTGGGCAGCTGCTCGGCGTCGCGCGGGAGCTCATAGTGCGCTGGTACAAAGTCAAAGAAGAACTTTCCGTGTCGCTTCTGCTGCGCCGCCACGTGATGAGACAGCGCGTCAGGCGACGTGAGCACAGCTGCGCCCGGCAGACGGTTCACCTTTGCGCTGAACTGGTGCGGGAGCTCCAGTCGGGTGAGCGGTGGAGCAGCTGCGGTGGCCCACACGAGATCAAAGTCGGCGCTGTCATTGCGCAGTTTGGTCCACGAGACTTCGCCGTCTTTGGTTTGGAACTGGGCGAACCCCAACGCCTGTAGCTGCTCGAGCACGGGCTGGAGCTGCTGCTGCTGCTGCTGTTGTTGTTGTTGTTGTTGTGGAAGCGCGTCGGGGAGAAAAAACTGCGCGTGAATGCGTTCGTCTGCCGTCGAGCGGACAGCAGCGGTCGCTACGAGCGCCAGTGCCGCCAGAGAGGATACGCGTCGCGGACGTGGAGACGCTGTCATGCGGGAGCGAAAATCTACCAGTCAGTCTGTATTTTACGATTTTGTCTGAGCTAACAACGTCAGTTAATCTAACATAACATCAGTTCTTTACAGGTAACATCCTATATTCTGGGGTAACATCCAGTATGCTGAGGTAACACCCGTAATTATGACGTTACGGCAGTTTTGGTGGACTATCATTTCGCTTAAGATTTTCGTCGTTTAAACACGTGATCAGAATCGAGGAATAAGAGCGGTCACGTTTGTTCGCTTGACGCTGGTCGCGCGCTATTGCTACACTCTGTATCGAGTCACTTAGCCCTCGTAACCTCTGCCGACGACTCTCGTGTCTCCGATACTGCTGTGCGTGCTCCGCTAGTGCAGCTTTGGGATCCGGATCGCCGCGTCACGGAAGCTCTTGAAAGGAGCGAGGCCGGGGAACTGCAGGAGCTTGAGCGCAGCTTGGAAGCCCGTGGCGGGCGCGATGAATGCGTCCTCGAGAAGAGCCGGCGCACTCGTGTGGAAGCCCTGGCGCTGCTTGTGCTTGGGGCTGCGGTCGCAGATCACATAGACTTTCTTCCGTCGGCGGACGATCTTGCAGCCGTCGCACATGCGCTTCACAGACGAGCGGACCTTCATGACTGTCGAGTGGCTGCGACGCGTGCCGGCTATTTTTGATAGTGAATTGTTAAATATTGCTGTCGAAAGGGTTCGGGTCCGGCGGACCTCTTGGTAATTATAGAACCAGGCTAACGTTTTTAGTCGTAATCTACCATCCGGAGTCGAGCCAAATCTATTGTCATCTGCAAATTCAACGGCTGTTATGCACTAAAAAGTTCAGTCTGCTTGAACGCAAGTTGAAAAGCGCACTTAGCACTGGACCACTCGGGCGGCAAAAGTGCCGATACATAATCCGTCGACGAACGTGTGACTTTTTTCGTTACACAATCAAGAGATTGGACTTACAGCGTGCAAGAGAAAACGCGCTCTTATGGTGCAGCATGTTAAACCGTCACAAATGATCGCGCCGAGTGAGAAAATGATGGCTATACGAGACAATCGAGCATTCGCCCAAGCTGCAAGCAGTATACACCGATCCCTACAATGACAACAGTGTGGACAGATTCCTTGAGATCTCACGTATACAAAAGTTCCGAGGCAACCAGGCGCCTAACAACCATGTTCGTCAAACGTAAGACGAAACGTCCGTTCGGTTCATAATTCACATGGATGTTGATATGTCTACACCGTTGTTTACATTATCTGAATACAAACATACGCTGCAGCGATCTGCTACCCCCCCCATTGTGCGCGTCGCGCAGCCTGGATGCTTTGTTGGTTTGGTAATCCTACATATTGATTCGCAGAAGTCAGCGAATATTACGCATCACACGCATACGAGTATATTATCCACAAAGACAATATTTGCAATAGCGTTCACCCCTGCCGATGCATCTGACGCGCTCATACTATAACATCACCCCTCCTAGCCAAGACTCACATTTGTGATCATGATTGACAGAGCGACCCCCTTGGGCCACGTTTGGCGAAAGAGAGCAATTGTCGGTTGTATACATATCGCATATTATGTTAGTCCTATAGTGCGCAGTGAAAGCTTCTTGACTGTGTGCAGCCACCAGTGAGTTTACCTTAAATCAAGCAGGAGACAAATGGCCGTCTACTCCAGGCACATCTCAACCTGCAGTACGTACGGCTTCATGTCCAAGTGGTGATGTACCACATGATGAGAACGATTTCAAAGTGAAGCTCTTGGACCATGGCGAGTCAAATGGGACATCCGGCATATAAGTATCCACAAAGTTCTACAACTCAAGAATATTCGGTTTGTGCTATCATCGAGGAGAAGCTGTATAAGGAATGCGTTGACGGCGTGGGTATACAATGATGCTAACCACGCAAATTTTGCAGACACCTCTCGATCAGTAACCGGTTCTGTTTTTCCAACTAAACAGATGGAGTTTTGGTTCGAGAGCGAAGCACAAAAGGCAGTAACGGATGATACATGAAATCCGGAGCCGATTGCTGCTCGTATGTGCGTCGAACGACTCGTGTGGTCTCGAAAACTGGTTGCAGAGCTTAACATTAAACATGAAACATGTGAGTTGCGGGTGGATAATCAAACCAAAGTGGCGATCTGCTTCACTGCCGGCAACTACGACGGAGCGATCAGGTATGCAAAGAAAGCATCAAGATCGTAGATATGGTCGAAAAGTAGGATGTTACGATCAAGTATGTCACAACCGAAGACAATATCGCAGACATTTTCACCAAATATCTCAGACTACAACGATTTTTGAAGCTCTCGGACCACTGCGATATTTAAAGTTGAGAAAGCTGCTTGGGTGAAAAGTGTACCTGCAATGTTTGCGAATCAAGACGTGTAAAGACACAAAACGTGAGATTCGGAAGAGTATGAGCGATACCTCGAAAAGGAAGTTCACGTTTCTGTCTAACTGCCTGGACTTGACCGAAGAGACCAGAAGTGACCCGTGACTTCGAGTCGTATACGATCTTTTGATTGTTGATTGATATTTGGTGGGGTCGGAAGGAGTCATGACGTTAGAAGGTGTTTTCCGTGAAAGCGTTTCTCCTCGTACTAATACGTTGCGTACATGTATGAGAAATTAGCGATAAATTACACTTCGTATTGCTACTTCCTACACACTACATCCTTTTGGCATCCAAGGGGTGCTGCTAACTACGATCGCTGAAGCGGTTATATTATCAGCTGATGCCAGAAAATGGAATTGGAGGAGAACCTACCACGGTGGAAAATCCCCTGATATCACCTCAGAGGCAAGGGTGGAAGAAAGCCATGGCAGCCGAATTTGATGCTCTGTTGCGAAATGTTACATGGATCCTCTTTTTGGATCGAAGAGGAAGAAAACCCGGAACACTAGCAAGAGTACTTTCTACGCGGTGGGTGTTCCACATCAAACGGGATGAGAACGGAAAGATCTTTCGCCACAAGACCAGACTCGTATTCTATGGGTATAAACAGCGTGCTGAGTTGGAAATGACAGGACGTACTTCCTTGGGCACACCACGTAGACACTGTTGCTCTTGGTTTAGCAAATTGCTTTGTGAATTTATTTGTGTCCTTAATTGGCATCTTCTTCTTGGTACTCTAAGCCTACTAGATCCTTCGACTATACATCAGGAATCGCCAATACACGCATTACTAATCGTATAGTCGCGCATGAGTAATCGCCACTACGCGCATTACTCGTTGAATAGGCGCGTTACTGGTCACCATACCGTACCTTTTGTGTATCGCTTGCTCGCCGAGGTGCATCTTCAACATCACTCCCACTCGACTCGGCAGCGTCTTGAATCCCCAGTCTGGTGCGAAGCTTGGTGAATAGATTCGCGGGGGTTGATTTCGTCATGATTTCTGCCAGCATATCTTGCTTCGGACAGTACTTCAGCACCATGTGACCGTCTTCAACCCTTTTCCTGCACGAAGTAATATCGTATGTCAATATGCGTGGTACGCTTGTGCAACTCAAGGTTCTTAGCCAGTACAATCGATCCTTGGTTGTCTTCGAACACCAAATGGATTCGTCATCGCCAGGTTCACCAAGCTCTTTTGCAAAAGTCTTCAGCCAAAATCGATTATCTGTATGCTTTGGACAATGCCATGTATTCTGCTTCCGTCGATGAAAGTGCAACTGACCGTCGGTTCTGTAAACGCCAACTCACGTAGCCACCGTTTAGCACAAAGACGTATCCACTTGTGCTGCGACGCGAATCGTGATCGCCAGCCCAGTCGGCATCCGATTAGCCGTTGAGTCCGCCATTTTGAGCATCATCTTAGCACTTGATAAATACAAGTCCGAGTGTTGCAGTCCGATGTAAGTATCGAAACACGCGTATCAGTGCTTGCCAGTGCCTCGGGCAAGGATTGACTGCAAAGTGGTTGGGAACTCCTTCTGCAGCTGCGAGATCAGGCCAAGACGCGAGCATGAAATATATATAGAATCCAACTGCTTGGCTGTATATACGTTAATCATTGACTCTTCGTGTTTGTATCCGCCTTCGCACATCGACTTTGTTAGATGCAGACCTGGATCTTGCGGCGTCTTCACGGGCTTGCAGTTTTGCATCCCGAACTTGGTCAAGATCGACTGCAGAAACTTTGACTGCCGAACGTACACTGTGCCAGCATCTTGATCGCGGTTGATTTCCATACCGAGGCAAAACTTAAGCTTGCTCAAATCCGACATCTCGAAACGCTTGTTGAGTGCGCGCATGATCTTCGAAAGTAGTGCCGCTGAATTGCAAGCAATTACAAAGTCGTCTACGTAGAGAATGACGAACGCCCAAAATTGCATTTGACGCCTTCGTCGACTTTCCGCATCTCGTACAAGCAGTGGTCGGATTTGCATTTGTTGAAATGTTGACTGGCCATGAATTCGTCGATGGTACTGTTCCACATTCGCGGTGACTTCTTTAGTCCGTACAATAACTTCTGCAACTTGCAGGCAAAGTCGACCAGACACCTTGCATCTTCATAGCCATTGGGTTGCTTCATGTATATATCTTCGTTTAAGTCGCTGTTAAGAAATGCGGTCTTGACGTCTATCTGATGCACTTGCAAGTCATACTTGGCGGTGAGTGCGAGTAAAAAAAGGTTCGAGATAACTTACTTTGCGTCTGGCGCAACCGTTTCTTCCTGGTTGATACCGTACTGCTGCTCAAATTCCTTAGCCACGAGTCGGACTTTATCCTGTTCAACTTTAACATGCTAGGTCAGCTTCTCAAGCGCGACCTTTTGAGCCTCAGAGAGGGGTGTGGATTGCTCCATCCTCACAGAGGATCAGTCGTTACCGACTCAGGCGTAGATTGACTACGAGTGCTACCAAGTGGGGCGGAGCTACACAGCTCCTAAAGTAAGATGAAGACTTAACGCTCTTGCGAGCAACTTTGGTTCTACGAACCCGACTCAAAGAGTCAACAGCTCCGAGAGCAAAAAGTTGGTTCAAAGAACCCGACTCAAAGAGTCAACAAGCTCAAAGAGCTTACGGTCCCTGTTCCAGGGGGACCAAACGATTCAAAGAATCAATCGCACTAAGTGCACAATGAGTAGCTGCCTTAGCAAGGCGTTGCTACTTCCTTACGATCGCAAGACGCCTCATAGAGGCATGTGTCTTTTGTTGATCAAAATGGGAACTGAATTTTATTTCTTCTTTTAACCTAAAAGAACACCGTATGACAAAGTAAATAACCTGCCCACTTATGTCCTAAATAAACCTATTAAAAGATCTCGTAATCAATGGTTGACAGACATCAGTCTTCAACAATTGATACTTGTGTTCTAATCTTACTTAAAGGGGATCCCATCCCGTGTGTGTACCACACCTATTGTCGACTACCAGTCGACGTGTAACCCCGTTACACCCTCCCCCACCAGACTGACGTTTCCACAAAACGTCAATCTAATTCTTTTCTCGAAGAGGACGGTGTGTGTGCACTTCAACCTCACGGTTGGCAAAACACAAAACACCATGGCATCGCCACCCCATGAGTCCTCGACTCTCTCGTCTCACCTTGGCATCGATGTGGATGTGGATTATGGTAGCAATACCGATATCGATGGTGACGAGAAGACAATGTCC